CCATAATCTCTTGCTACCACTGAAAAATACAGCTTTCGATATCCTTTCACAAAGTGAGTATTTCACCAGTATCCACCCGTGCTCTCTGGACTGAACATGACTTATCAAAGGAACAAAGGCAGCTAGAACACAATCAAGTTAATGGCGTTCTTTCTATGTGAAATATGCACATATAGAGCATAAATGACAATTTCGGAATAAACAAACAATATACTTTTATAATTAGATAGAAGTGCACAGCATCTTCATATACCACACTTTTAAATGATTCCTGGTCTAAGCAAGTTTGCTATACATAGTTTTAGTAGTTATACGCAAAAAGTATATATTTTTCACGATTATAAATTAGTACATTACTGGACACCCGCTGATTCGGTGGTAAGTCTGAGGGCTTATAACACTAAAAATCGAGATTCGATACCCACGGTGGGCAGAGCACTGATAGCTCGTTACTTACTTTTTCGCTCACCAATAAACAAGAGTACATTACCGAGTCATTTTGCGCTTCATAGGGATCGTGTAATGTAAATAACAAAAGAGAAAAGGTCAGTTCCATTTCCAATTTTTAAGTTTCATCCAGATGACATTCCTGTTACTGTCAATACGTAAATGTTAACATCAGATCTATGTCAAAACTTAAAATATTTAAAGTAGAATTTAACGTTAAATCACAAGGTAAGTGCTTTGTGGATATTTATATTTCGGAAAATATGCATCATAAAATAAACGAAGTAGAGCAAAACATTTTAAGAGGTCTATAAATGTAATTTTAACAGTTATAGTAGTTTTCCCTTTTCAGAATCTCAATGTGCTATATACGTAGGTACCACATGCTCTGTCACATGATATTGTTAATGTTTTAGTGTTACGCCTCTTATTTTTCGATTTCTTACACCAATGTAAGTGAAGACTATGTAGGTTAGGTTTAGCAGTTGGATTTATTGAACTTGAAAGAAATAGTTTACAATATGATTGAATAAACAACATTATTTCATTGCCGTATTTCTGTTGTCAAGAGTAAAAACTAAGATCAACATAGCAGAGGATCAGAGATAGTACTATACTGTTTAGTATACTATTACTACTAGTAGTAAAGTATTACTATAACTTAAATATAATTTGTATGTAACCTAGATAATGTGAAGATGTTTTAAGTATTAAAATTTAACGTATTTTTATTGTTCTCTCTCTTCAAAACACGCGTAACCAGCATTATTATTACTAGTAATTTTAAGAAGTTACTAAGAGTAAGAGTTTACTTATTGTTATGTAAACATTTACCAGTGACAAATAGATTATTATTTATTCAATTAGAAAAGTTCAAAATAATGTTTATTTTGAATAATACTAGAAAAAGTTTTAATTGCAATTACAGAATTAGCATGTTGTATGTCAGTGGTAATACTGAGCCTTAATTAAATTAAACTTATAAATAAGCTATTTTAAATGTTTTAATCTCCCTCTAGGATCCTGTTAATAATAGAGATGGAATAATTTAAGCAGTAACTGAATTGAAAGCTTATTAAATAAATGTGGAGGCTTAAGGCCATGGGTGCAAGTCTGCTAAAGTGATAACACAACTAAGTACTTATTCAACAGCCCCATTCTCCAGTGCTTGATACCTGCCTATGACTTTAACTTTAAGGTTCTTGAAAAATAAAAGATGCTTATTGGCATTTTCTAGGAATTTCCTGACAAGATATAAATTTATATATATATAGACAGATTGATTATGCTGCCAATAGAAGCAGACTCATTATGAAAAGTTATATTTTTACATAAGATGACTGAAAAAAATTTTTGAAGATGTGGAAGATGTTTTTTTAGATTCTGTTTCTAATACTGTAGAGCATAGTGTCAGGATTGGGAAGAGCACTGATGATGCTATTGTGACATTATTATTCACGGTGGTTATGTTAAACCCTGTTTTGAGGATAAGGGTCTTGTCTCTTATTTTAAGAAAACAGATGTCTAGACACTTCAAGATATATTAAGAAAGAAAAAACCTATGTAACTTAAGTGGGAATAAATTGAATGAAGCTTAATGTACTTATTAGTTTTATCAAGTTAGCAGAAAATAAATGTGTTACTTACAAAAACTACATTCCGAACAATAGCCAATTTATAAATTGTTGAGTGGGGGGGGGGGAGTATTACTGATGTATGAATATACCCAGCTTATAAAAAATATTAAATTACTGGTATGATAAGAACGTGAAAGAGCAAAATGACAAAAATGCGATTGAGTCCACCAAGGTCACCGCTACCAGCAAACCATTCAAAGAATGAAAGGTTCTGAAGTTTAAAAAATTTTACATCAAGTTAATATTTATAACATATTTATTCACTAAAAAAAAAAAGTTGATTGCTGAATAACTTACTCATTTAACTGTCTTTATCAGAAATTACATTACATGGACTAATAATAGTCTAACAACATGTAATACCATTAAAGTGTTAACCTATTTACATGTAGAGGACTCCTGTTTAATTATGAATACTTCAAGATACGTAAGTAGCACTGAAAAGGGAAAACAAAAGTGTGGCTGTTGTAACATGCTGCTTAAACATTGTCTAGTATGTAAGCTTTATGATGTTTGATATCTCAGCATGTGTGTGTCTACAGTTTCTTTGAACCTGTAGTATAAAATGTAAACATTTTAATGTGTTCTTTCTTATCTTCTGCCCATACCAACAATTTCTTGCTTAACATTGTATGATTTTTTTTACTTAAATTTTCACACTAATGATGGAATTAGAAAAAAATAATCCAAAGCACTTGTAATTAAAGATTTTTTTTCATACTTCCTTGATTTTAATATTTCTTATAATACTTTGATTTCCAACTTATGAATAATTCTAATCTCTACAAAGTGGTTATCTATAATCCTCAAAAGTTTTTTGTTAAGTAGTAAAGGTCGACGAAACTACTAGTAAGAAAAATAAATTTTATAAAGTACTTTTTTTGGCAGCCTTGTTTTTTCAGTAAAATTTTTTTCAAAAACTTCCCAAGGCTTTAACAGAAATGTCAGGAATACGGTATGCATGCATTGCTCGAGGCTCTGTTATCCTTGTTAGTCACCAGAAGGCTTCAGGGGACTTTGAGAATGTGGCTCACGTCATGTTGCCAAACATTCCAATAGCAAAGGATACTAAAACAACTTATACATCAGAAAAGTAAGTGGAACAGTTCTTTTTTTTAAGTTTAACATTCTTTTTTGAACCTTTTTGTAGTAAGAGAGCATTTTAACACATCATCATCATTACATTTTTGGTTTTAATATTAAAATCTATCTTCGTTGTGTAACTGATTTCCATTCAAAACATCAAGTTGTCTTTGTTAGTTTAGTCTTCATCTAGATATTGGACACAATTACAGGTTCTGAGTTTAAACAATTATAATTATTATTATATCCAAACATCTGTAATTTTTACTATTTAGGACTTTCCATAAACTAACATTATCGTGCAATTTAATTTTTTCTAGCCTGGAAATGTAATTTGGTTTACGTGTAGCTTTAAATGTTATTATAAAAATCATCTTTTGTCTCATGTGATATCAATCCTATATTCAGTAAATTTTCTGTAGCCAACTGTGATAATGTATATTAATACTTACATGGAAGTTAAAGATGTTTTTGTAATTTTTCCTTTTCGACTTTGTTTTTCTTATTGTTATCTGACAAAATACCATAGCACTGAAAAGTTATTATTTTCATTCAATTATCAATAAGTCCACAACATCGTAACAATTTTAGTATACATAGTAACTGGTGGGTGTTGAGAAGAGTTTATGTGTATGTTATACAAATAATTATCTTTACCACCATTTCATTGAGAAATGATATTGATCTGCATAATGTAAGCATTTCATTTGTTGCTTGAAAATACAATATAAAACTTGGTTAGCGAACTGATCATATATCCATCATTTGATAGTTCATGCTTTCATAAACCAAAGTTTTGATGTTATAATATGATGTTGATAATCATCAAAATGTTTGTACAAGTTTGATATGTTTCTCTTTTTTTTTTCCTAAGTCAGGTGTGGACATATACTAGGTTGAATTTCTTCAAAATGTATAAAACAAGACCAAGTATAATCACTCGTATTGTGTCCTGTTAAACCTTTAATTTTAATGGTCATACCTTGCTGAAATAACTAAAGGAATGTTATAATCAATATTATATTAGAGTTTGGTAAAATATACACACACACCTAAAAGTTTAAATGAAAAAGTACCTGTAATTGAACAGTGTATTATTCTTGAGACCAGATTATTTCACTTCTAACTGATATTGCTTTGTATTACAAACTAAAAGACAAGAAATAGCCACAAACCTACTCATGCTCAAATTGTGGCAATTGTTACCCCCTGCAACCTTACAAAATCTTGTTTGTTTATATCTCATTCTGATCCAACATGAAGTTTGAAATGATGAAATCATATTAAAATCCAATTGTGTTTCATGCTTTATTTCTATGTAAAACTACTTTCAGATACACATATGTTACTGTGCATTTCAATGGATTCAGTGACCTGCAGTGTTGTTGTTTCTTTTTCTGAAATTAAGGAAGAAGCTGTTCACAGATGTAGTTACATTGTGGAACATTGAAATGATAAGGCTGACTCCTTTGAGGTTTCGATTAATTCTGTTTTAGGGATTCAAGTTTCACAAGAAATGTCCTTTGCTGAATAAGTTGTTTCAGTTTTGCTTCACCTATAGTATATCGACATCTAACACACGTTAGTCTTCACACTTATTACAGTTATCCTTCTTTATCTTTTACCTACAATTGACAAACTGGTACATTTTTTTTAGGGGAGGGGAAGGTGATTGGTGAAGACTTGGATCAATAGCTGTGGGTTGGTTTCTTTAAGTTACTTCTGATTTAAAAGGAAATCCTTCTCATGGAATAATTTTATTTTCTACTCCAGTTTTCTTTAGATTGCTCATGTTCTTCTGTTGTTTATGGATAATTATTCCCTGAATTCTTATATCTTGATGATTTTCCTGGTGATCAACTGTTCTTTTTTAAACAGATCAGATGGCTGTTGCTTTGTTGCACATAACCTGTTTGATTTGAACTGAACCTCATAGCTCATGTGGAACTTCTGGACGATATGTGGTAGTGATCTAGAGTTGTCAAAATCCTTTTTGTAATTTTGTAATGAGGCATATAAACATCTAGGTTTCACAGCATAGAACACAGATGGCAGCAATAAATTACTTGTTTTAACTGTCTAAGCCTCACTGTCAATTAAAACAAATCTGGAAAAATGTTTGACACACAGAACTAATTATAAGTATTGGTAAAACTAAATCAACATTACTACTTCACACCTTGCATTTTCTACTTCCCACCATGATTACCTGTTAAGTACTAGTTATGTTATATACCATTCTTTAATTAAAAGGTCAACCTTAAATGCAAGTTACAAGAGATGTTTACCTTAATTGGTGGGAACTTCTATCATTTCAACTGATCTTTGTAATATTGTTAAAAAATAAAATATGTACAAAATAACAACTCAAAGCTTCTTTAGTTAACCCTTTTGCTGTGTATTTCGGATATATCCAAATAAACATTAGTAGCCACTGATTGCAAAATTCAAATTTAACCCATGGCTACCAAAACAATTTCCCTTTACTGCGACATGCGAGATTATCCCCCTGTACTTGAAACAATAACCAAACCTGAATGTGTTTAATGAAAAGTATTTTGACCTGCTGTGTGTACAGATAGTAAAAAAAAAAATGTAATTTAAATGTATTGATAATCTTTTTTTATTGGTTATAAGTTACAGTTTATATGACTTTCACAATGTGGTAACTCTGTCTTAACAGTGATTTTAATTTCAGTTACCTGTTTCATGTCGTCGTTGAGAATGGTCTCATTTTTCTTTGCACTGCACCACCTGACTTTGGGAGGAGATTGTGTTATTCATTTCTCAGTGAGGTAATATAAATAAAAAAATTTCAATATCAATTTTAAATTTTTTAGGTTCATATGAAAGTAATTTGTTTTTAGTTTGAATCATAGACTTTTTTCACATGTGCTTGAGTCTATGTTTAGGTGAAACGAAGATTTAACACAAACAGCCTTATGGCACGGGCTAAGTCAGCCATAACTCACGAGTTGGGACGAGATTTTGGACCCATTTTAGCTGAAGAAATGGTGAGTAAAGTGTTTGAAGTTTGACACATTATTTCTTCTCATTATATGTAATTTTTAGTATTAACTGTAATGTGAAATCATCTCATTTTAAGAGTCTTGCATTCAAATGTAACATGTCTCATAAAATGTGGTTTTCCAAATGCTTAAAGTACACATAACTTTATTTGTGCAGACTAGCAACCTACAATTGGGTATTTGGATTTTCTAGACTCACATGTGCAAGATACAGCTATAATTAATGTATTTGTAGTTTGTAATATCCTTTACTTACCACGAGTAACTTAAGTATATAGACTGTAATTTGTCACTATTACAAAAGACTTTCTCGTTCTTTAGAATTATTGTCAAGGGGTGGAATTTTTATCTTGTGCATAATCAATAAGTTTATCAAATAATTATTCAGGACTGTATAAAGTTATTGCTATTTTTTTTATCATTAAAGATTTCTTTAATAAAACTAAGAGTTTTCTGAGTGATATAACTGTTTGCCAGAAATGTAAGATATTACATTGGTTTTATGTAGATCCATATAATAGTGTCATCCTTGTTTCAATACTATCTTAATTATGATTTTAACTGTTTATATTAATGATAGCTACGTAACATTCAAAATACATGGGATGTCTGTACTTATAGGAGCGATACAGTCGGGGTGAGTCAGGGGACAATATTAGTCAACTCCAATCACAGGTCGAGCAGGTTAAAGGAATTATGACACAAAATATTGAAAAAGTGTTAGAACGGGGTGATCAGATTGATGTACTTCTGGATAAAACATCTGACCTTGAAGCAAGTGTAAGTATTGATAGTATCGTTTCAACTAAATCTAACCTTGATATAAGATAACATTCCAAAATCTTCAAGAAAATTAAAACACAAACAGAGTTAAAAGCAAAAACGTGTTAGGTATTTATTTTGTATCACATATTATTGTAATTTTTCACAGGTACATTACAAAAATAGATCAAGTGGTCAGGGAATAACATATTTTGGTCAGGTGTGGGAACCATGACTAATCACTCATTCCTTAGAATTGAATCATTTAAGCTAAACTTCTACCAATTAGAATTAATGTGCAACACTTGGTTGCTGCTAAGATTTGTTTAATCATTAGTTAATAAAAATTCTTTTTTTTTTTACTTAACAGAGTAGTCATTTCAGAAGTTCAGCTCGTCGAGTTCGCCAGAAGATGTTCTGTCAAAACGTCAAAATGTGGTTAATTCTGGGTTTTATTGGAGTTGTTGTCATCACATTAATTGTCCTTATGGCCACTAATGTTATTCCTGTGAAAAAAAGTTAAAATTTTGAACTCCATAGGCTAATCACTAAGTTTTATAGTGTGAAATTTAAATTAATTCGTAAGAAGTTAATTAATTTAAAAAACAAATTATTTCTTTTGTTTTCAAAGTTACTAAGAACCAAGTAAAACATTTATAAGGGAAACATCTGTTTTATGTATATATACTGATTTCATGTTGTCTTTACTAAACTAGGTCTTCTATAAGTTGAAAAATATTTGTACAAGAACATGGTATTAAGTACAACTTTATAAAGTAAAGTGTTTTGTGTGTTTACTGACTTTAAGCTGATGTTTTTCAAACATATTTTTATAGGTAAATAAGCTATGACTACTTCTATTTTCCATAAATATAAGAATAAGTATAACATTATAATGAAAAGGTTGTTTTATATAGATACTGATTTCAAATTGTCTTTATCAAATATGTTTTTTACAGAAGTAAGCTTTTAGTATGTTTCTGTTTCACCAAAGAATAGAGTGAAAAGGTGTATCTTTCACGAATTAAAGGAAACGCGTTTATTATTAAGCATTTGTTTTTGTATGAAATAATAATAACAGTTATAAGTACACCTAATATTTTAATAATTAATGAAAAAAATCAACCTATTGGGAGTCAAATTATCATGAATTAAAAAATAAATCCTTACAAATTTTATATTCCTATTTTTCGACTTTCTAAAATTCAAGAAGCCACGTAACTGTACAATGTAATTTATTAATTTTTTAACTCTATTATGTATTTTGTCTGCAAGTTCCTTTAATTTGGAAGATTTACTTTGATCCTTATGATAAATAAAAAAAGGGATATTTAAGATAAGGTTGACCAAACAGCTGAAAGAAGAAAGGATACCACATGCATGCTATTAACCAATAGTAACTCAAATCAACTATGTGTGTTTTTGTAAAGACGAGTATATTGTTATTTCTACATAATAAGGCTTGATAAAACATTTTATAGATCTTTTATAGCTTATTCAGCCATATGATGCTCACAGTAGTTAACAAGGGACAGTGGTTTTGTATGGTGGTTAGAAAATCCTACCTTGTTACAACTAAGTAACTGGTTTCATATGCTTTATATTGCTGCAACGAATTTAACTGATTTTATTGGGTTTTTTTACCTTATAGCATTGAATGTAACCAGTTTCATGGACCTCATCTTGTTGCATCATATGTAACTGATTCCATAAACTGTACTAGAATATTTATTTAAACTCGACAGTTATGACAGTGGACCATAACTTACTTGCCATATCATACTTATTTCATTTGTCTGGAATTTTATGTTGAAAAGCTGAAAACATATAATAAAGATTAATATTTAAGTTGCCATACAGTCTGTTCATGATGATTTCTTGACAATTATATAAAAAAAATGATGTTGCTGTTTTTATGAATTTCTGATTTGTTTTCAATATCCTACATAACTCCCAAGATAAGAACTTGAGTTTCCTAAATTTCTGTGAAACAATTGTCTAAGTTTTCTTTAAAATGTCTTTTTAAAAAAACACAAATGGAATGGCTTTTATGGAACACAGACTCCTTACATTAGTCTTCTAGAAGTTTATTACTGTAATGGATCTCATGAAATTAAAGACAGTTAATTTTAGTACTTATTTGTATCCCTCTATTCACATATTTATTGACTGTCATGGTGTTATTATGTAATGCATGTATGTGATTTTTTTTACTTCTTTTTGATCTGAATTAAACTTTTACATGAATATTTACATATATATTTATATATATATATATACCCTCGTGAATTGGGAGATTGTAAAAAAAGTTGTAAAGACTTGGTCTTTAATTTTTATATTTCTGAGCTTAATCATCATATTGTCCATCACACAAAATATTAATTTTTAGAATATTTAGTAATATGCTAACACATAGATAGATTATTAGAAACAGTTTTCAGCACACATATCTCTTAAAATGAGTTGTTAAAATTATACTGATTTATATGAATATCTTTGTATAATATCTCTTTGAAGAGGCCTTAAGTTTTTTTTAAAGATCTAATGTTGGATAGGTAATAGTGCTTATTTATAATGAATATTCTTTTTATTGTTTCAAATACAACAAGGTAAAAAGTTTGTGAAATAATTATTGTATATTAATGAACTTATGTAAAACAGCTGGTCATAAAACTTTGTTCCATTTCAAGTTTTCACATAAATTATTAACAGAAGCATTTATTCAAAAGTTTATAGCCTTATGAAATGTCATTGGTTTAATGGTTCTAAGCACAGTTTTACCTAAATAAACCATGCACTACAAATATAATTCACTATTTTTTTAAAGGAGAAAAACTTTGTCCAAATTCTATTATGATTTAATATAATTAAATGTTTTCAATTAAAATATGGTAGAATTAAAATATGGGACCATTTTTAAATACTATATATACTTTTTAAAGAGTTTTTCTAGATAACCGTACTTTGCAGTATGAATCATGGTTTTGTGATTAGTTGTGCTTACTTCTTTTGTGTTGTTCAAATTTGTGCTGGATTTGAGCTTTTTATAGTCTGCTTATACCAGAGAATTAGTTGGTTCAAGCACAGTTATTAAAATGTAGCTCACTCCTGTGTGGTTGAATTCTCAAGTACTATTATTAAAACAAAGTGGTTATGATCCTTATTATGAACTGATTTAAATTGTCTAATTATGTATATTACTATGAAGAGACTGATATCATGAATTAAAAAAAAAAATTCAGAAATTGAGCTCCTCTACCTTTTATGGATTTTAAAAATGGTGTGTAATGGTTATGTGGGATTGGTCTAAGTAAGACTTGGAATAGACCAATGGTAACTGTTCTGGTGAAAGCAAATAGGTTGAAGTAATGCTTCAAAAACATTTTCAGAATTGTACTTTTTACAGTTCATAGTTAATTATTTCAAGCCCAAAGTTTTTGTTTTTATTATTTCAATTTAATCTAATCATTATTGGGATTTCCATGTAAAATCAACTGTGATTTGTTTTAAAGTTTCGCTGAAATGTTTAAATTACATCCTTCAAATAAAAATTGGTATTTTTAACTGTGTAACTGTTGGATCTATATTAACTTGCCCTATATGATGATATTCTAGTTATACATCAGGGGTACTGTAAAAAGTAGAGAGGTTTAATGTCTTCAGTACTGAATTTATCATATAAAACAGTAGTGTGGGTACCAATCTGTGTTAGTTGAATGAAGATGACGTCATGTACTATAGTAAGTTTCTCCACCAACAAACTTACTCACTGAAACTGCTAAAACAGAAATGTATTAGTTGTTTGTAAATGTTACTATTGTTAAGCAGGAACAATGTACAATTTTTTCTGTTACTTGTCATCACTCTTCAACAAACTTTCTTATGTGAAATACCAGTAGTGAACTGTTTGTTATATATGTAAATGATACCACTGTTGAACAAGAATAACAAAAGAGCAACTGTCAGATCTGATATCACTGTTTACATTACTGTCAGGTGTCATATCACTACAAACATAACTGTGAAATGCAGTATTACCATTTAATTATCAGATGTCACAAATTATTGATATTAATGCAAAAATCACTGTTTCCAACATCAAATGATGATATATATGAAATGGGTGGAGCTGTACTTAAGATTGAAAACCAAAGTATGCATCATTATCAAGAACAACTTGCAATTAAAGTAAATATGGATGTTTTTTTTTTATCTTAAACACGTAACCATATGGCATTAATATAAGCTTGAAGTTGAATATTTAGCTGATAACTGTGGATACTCGTAATTTATTACACTATATTGGAAACAGTGTTACAAGGATATTTTGAAAAGAAACTTCTGTTTTCACCAGCATTTATCATCTGCTTAACCATCTAAAGTGTCGCAAACATAGAAATTAAATCATATAATGAAAAAATCTACTGTTCTTGTGTATTTAATTTCATGACTAAAATACTTCAAAAGAGTAAGTGGAATGAATGCATTTGTTTCAAGGTTTTTATTTTTGAATTGATGTTCAAATTATTGTTTATTTGATTTCCCTTAATAGTTTGTTTTATTTGGTTAGTTGACCTCAAAATATAAATGTATACAAATGTATTGATTCAGAATTTATTTTGATTTATTAATAAAATATTTTGTTTGTTTAATATCAGAAGTTTTGAATGCTATTACTTAATTTTTTTTTCAGATCAAATTACATATTTTCTGTTAGACTATGTAATTTTAATTAATCTACATTCTGTTATAATTGATTTTAGGACTTTTAGTGGTCCTAACATTTTCCCAATTTTTTAAATCCTCCCAGAAATTTTACAAATAGCCTCAGAAGAGCTCTAAAATTAAGAAATCTTGCTTTCACCTTGGAATGTTGATGTGATGATGTTGACTTTGACCTATGTAAATATCTGGTTGTTTCATGGATGTTGATAGGGCAGGAAATCCATAGATAAAAAAAAAAAAATTAATTTATTTAAGAAATCTCAGAAAATCAACATCTATAATGTTAATACATCAGTAGCAGCATTAAGATCTCTAATACAGATTGTAAGTAATCTTGTGTTATCAGATAAAGAATATTTATAGTTTCAATGTAGTATGTTTTAATAATCTTAGTTATTCACTAGCAAGCATTTTACTTCAAAATATCCTTATTATACGAAAATAAGTCACCATATTGGACTGAAAGTTTGCCCTTATTTTCCTAATATGTTTACGAAAACATTTCTAAATATTAAAAACTCCTCACACAAGTAGCCCTAAATTTATATTCTTTTCTGATTGGAAAGCTTGTAATTTAAACCAATTAATATAAACTCTTATGGTTTAAATTATTGAAAATGCATTCCATTAGGACATACATACTACTACAAAAATATTCAGGAGCACAATTTTATAGCTGAATTTATTCCTCAAACAAATGAACAACAGGGTTAAAATTTTAAGTACATGTCAAGAGCACCAGACAGTTAATGATAAAACTTTATGGACAAAATAACATTTATATAATAATATTACTTGTTAGAACATGCCGAACATGAGCACTCTTAAATTTCAACTGGTCAGGCTGGATTAACTTGTCTTAAAAGTTACACAATTGGTAAAAGGAGATAATAACAATTGATGTGACCCCCCAGCATTAAAACAGCCCATGCACTTTCATTCATTGAACATTAGGGTACTGCTTTGAGCATGTAAGGAATCATCTATGGATGGGAAACTACTTGATGAGTTTTCTTTTGACAATATTTCAGACTATGCCGAGTCATTCTTCAGGCTACAGAAACCAAAATATCATCAAAAGAAAAGAAGTGTGGTAGTTTCTAATCTACAGAAGATTCCTAACAATCTCTGCACCTGTTGAGCATACTTTCTGATCAGTTAGCACATGGCATTACATGGAATCCTGTCCTGTTTTTCAGTCAGTACAATGTCCAACTTTCTAAAGTCATGCAATGGGGCAAGGGTCTGATGCATATGAAACCCAAGATAGTCTCAGAAGTGTTCTATGGGCTTTAAATTGGCCAGTTAATGTACTTTTTTTTTTTTGTTTAAGGTAGTCTGTTGCAATCCTGACATTATAACATTTGTTATTATTTTGTGTTAGGACAATGTCTAATTTGATTGCACCCACGAAGGTCCATACAATTGGGCCTAATAGAATTATCTTATCATACAGTAAATTTGCTTATTAGAGGTACAGAAAGATCTGTACAGTTGATGCCTCTCCACACCATACCTGAACTGCCTCTGTTATAGTTATATCCAGTGATTTTACACTGAGCATTTCATTCACTCTAGCTTTTCAAACATGAATCTGTCTATCATTTATAAAGAATAAAACTTTGACTCACAAATAGAGTATAGTTGCCTAATGGCATTGCTTCAAACTCTTGACAAAACTTCAGACATTGTTTGTGGTCAGCTGTGGAGTTGAAACTGGTCTTCTCAATCTTAACCCATCACAAATTGAAGTTTAAAGAAATACATCATACAAATGAAAACACCCTTCATACAATAGCATTTAAATACCAAAAATGTAACACCTCCTTTTACTACTACCTTCATGGTAATGGTGTAAGACACTTGAGTTCTTATGGCACATTGTGTTCCTAACCAGGAGTAGCTGAAACTGTAGTTGCATTCCATGGTTTATTGCAGGTCCTAGAGTGTGCTTTGAAATACTAATAGAATGATCAATAACTGGCCGTTTTACAATAATATAGACAGAAGGGATAAGTATTTGATTTTAAATAGGAAGTGCTAGAGTTCAAAATGTTGGGTCAAATAAACTGGTAGATCAGAAAAAACATTTTCAAAATTGTGGGTTGAGGCTGTAACAGGCCCAGGTAGAGCAGCCCTCCGCTCTAAAATGTCCTTCATGAGCAGAATGTAAAACAAACAGTGGTTAAGCTCTGTGGCTACAAGCTTACATGTACTTACACCTAACCCACCTGAAGAATACAATCCCTACTACATGAGAACCACAGTCAGTGGTCTTGAGCTTGACCTAGCTCCAGAACTGTACTCTTCAAGAGTCGAATAATTGAAGTTGCACAGAAATGATATTATTTACACACAACTAAACCACAAACAAAGTTATTAGCATAAAACAAAACAGGGGCAAGATGTGTCTGTTGTGGTCTTGTTGCATTGAAAAGAGAAATAAAGGAAATGAAACCTTAGTGAGCTCTCTCTCACCCGTCTAGATGTGCCTTTCTTTTCTTTTTTTTGTAAATTAAATTATAAATATGTAATTTTCAAGTTTAGTTAAATGTCTCTTAACGCGATTTAAAATACTGTATTAAAATTCTAAAACAAAGTTAAAGTTATAATAAAAGTCAAATTCTATAAAAGCTATAAAGAAATTTTAAGTGAAAAAACCTTATCAAAATTTCCGGTACATCATATATAACGTCATAGATAGTTTTCTATTACTAGACGTCACGTGCTATATTCCTTATAAGAAATTCGGTTAATTGCTAATTAGAGGCCCTGGACAAAACCAACAAGAAGCAAAATGCAGTTTACTTTAATAACTTTCCATGTCCAAGCTACAAACTACAGAAATTTGAAAATAAAAACACATTAACTAAAGGCCAGAGTAGAAAGCATATGTACAGTGCATGAAGATGGCTTTTATATGCGGAAACATCTGTTAGCTGAGTTATTGCACAGATCTTAAAATAT